TGTGGTACACGGGCCTCTCACTGTTGTGGCCTCTCCCGTTGTGGAGCACAGGCTCTGGACGCGCAGGCTCAGCGGCCATGGCTCACCGGCCCCGCCGCTCCGCGGCATGTGGGGTCTTCCCGGACTGGGGCACGAACCCGTGCCCCCTGCATCGGCAGGCGGACTCTCAATCACTGCGCCACCAGGGAAGCCCGGGCAGGCACATTCTTAACCACCGTGCCACCAGGGAAGTCCACATGCGGGCTTCTTAGTTGCCACACTCGGACTTCTTAGTTGTGCCATGTGGGCTCTTAGTTGTGGCATGCGTGTGGGATCTGGTCCCCAGACCAGGGATCAAAGCCGGGCCTCCTGTATTGGGAGCGTGAAGTCTTACCCACTGGATCACAAGGGAAGTCCCTCTGCTCTAATCTTTATCATTTACTTCCTTTTGCTATTTTTGGTTTAATTTCCTTTTCTTTCTCCAGTTCCTCAAGATTTAAGTTAAGGTTGTTGATTTGAGATTTTTCTTCTTTGTTAGTGTAGGCAATTATAGCCATAAATTTTCCTCCAAGTACTGCTTTTGCTGCATCCCATAAACTTTGGTATGTTATATTTTTGTGTTCATTTTTCTCAAAGTACATTCTTATTTCCCTGTTTCTTATTTCTTCTTTGACCTATGGGTTGATGAAGTGTACTGGTTAATTTCCATGTATTTGTGAATATTTCAGTTTTCCTTCTTCTGTTTATTTCTAGTTTTATTGTACAGTTGACCCTTGAACAATATAGGGGTCAACTGCAACCCTCTATGCAGTTGAAGATCCACGCATAACTTTGCAAGTGGCTTTCCATATCCATGGTTCTGCATCTGTGGATTTAACCAATCACGGATTGTGTAGTACTGTAGTACATATTTATTGACAAAAAATGCACACATAAGTGAAACCTATGCAGTTCAATCCAGTGTTGTTCAAGGGTCAACCATTCTTTAGTCAGGTTTGTATGCTTTGTATGATTTTGACCTTTTGAAACTATTAATTAAGAATTGTTGGGCTTCCCTGGTGGCGCAGTGGTTGAGAGTCTGCCTGCCGATGCAGGGGACACGGGTTCGTGCCCCGGTCCAGGAAGATCCCACATGCCGCAGAGCGGCTGGGCCTGTGAGCCGTGGCCGCTGAGCCTGCGTGTCCGGAGCCTGTGCTCTGCAATGCGAGAGGCCACAACAGTGAGAGGCCCACGTACCGCAAAAAAAAAGCATTGTTTTATGGCCTAACATATATCCCAGAGAATGTTCCGTGTACATCTGAGAAGAATGTATATTCTGCTGCTGAGTTGAGTTTCCTGTATTTATCTGTTAGGTCTAATATCCAGTATAATTTCATCTTTTTAAAGAAACGATAGTACTGTACCATTTATTTTTAAAATGAGCTTTGCAAAGTCTTAAATTTCTATTTAACTTCCAAATACTCTCATCTTAACTTGATTATGTCTGCAGAGACCTTGTTTCTAAATAAGGTCACATTCACAGGTGGGGGAATGGGGAGGTAGGACTTAAATGTGTCATTTTGGGGCACACAGTTCAATCAACTACAGAGTCAGTTAGCAACAAATTTCTTCTGTTTTTGTTTAGCTGTGAATGTCTTTTTTTCACCTTTATTTTGATAGTTTTGCTGGATACAGAATTCTTTGAGCACTTGGTATATGCCTCTGACCTCCATTGTTTCTGATGAGAATTAGCTGTTAATCTTATCACATTTGTTAAGTGATGAGTTGTTTTTCTCTTGCTGCTGCTGCTGTTTTCTCTTTGTCTCTGAAACATTTTGACTATGATGTGTGTATTTGTAGATCTCTGTGTTTATTTTACTTTGAGTTTGTTGAACTTTTTGAATGTGTAGATTAATATTTACAAATAAATTCGAGAAGTTTTCAGCTATTATTTCTTCAGATATTTCTCCCTGCTTCTATTTCTCTTTTTCTCCTATTACACATATATTTGTGTGCTTAATGGTATCTCACGTTTCTTTGAAGTTATGTTCACTTTTCTTCATTTTTTTCTTTCTGTTCTTTGGATTGGATAATCTCTGTTGATCTGTTTTCAAGTTTACCAGTTCTTTCTTTTTTGCCAGTTCAAATCTGTTGTTGAGCCCCTCTAGTGAATTTTTCATTTTAGTTATTTTTCAATTATAGAATTTCTTTTTGCTTCTTTTTTATAGTTACTGTTTATTCATACTGTTTATTTGGTGCAACGTTGTCATCACACCTTCCTTTAGTTCTTTAATAATGGTTTCATTTAGTTATTTGAGCATACTTATAATGGCCAATTTGTCTGTTAAAGCTGATGTTCGTGGCGTGTGGGATCTTAGTTCCCTGACCAGGGATCAGACCCATGCCCCCTGCATGGGAAGTGCAGGTTCTTGACCACTGGACTGCCTGGGAAGTCCCTCACAGGCAGTTTCTGTTGCCTGCCTTTTTTCTGATGGGTTATGGGTTGTACTTTCCTGTTTCTTTGCATGTCTTGTAATTTCTTGTTGGAAATCATTTTAGATAATATATTGTGTCATGTCTGAGTGCTGGTCTCCCCACTTCTCCACCCTGGGCCTGTTTTTACTTGCTTGTTTACCTTTTTGGTGACCAGCTAGGTTTTAAGTGAAGTCTGTTCCCACCCCACATGCTACTCTGGGCAGTGTGAAGCTTCTGATGTCACTCCTCAAGGGGACCACAGCCTTGGGCATGCCCACAGTCACCCTGGGATGGTGGTGCTTTGGCTGGGCTCCTTCTGTCTTTTTCTCTGACCACACCTTCCACAGTGCCCTGGGCCATAATTTCCTTTACAGACTGACCAGTCAAATTCAGACTCCTTTGATTGGATAGTGTCTGAGGTCAGTGATTGAGATCTATTCTAAGTAAGTGAGGGCACTGGCCCCTGTCTCCTCATTTCTCTGGTCCACTAGGCATCCTGCAGTTCAGTCCTTATCTCCAGTGACTCTTATATTTCTAATAATCTCTCTCCAAAACCTTCACTGTTTCTGAGAGCACCTTTTGCTTAGGACTTTTTCTGTACCCTGTTCATAACGAAGTTAGTTCCTCTTAGAGAGTTTTGGAGCTCTGTTGTTACAAGGTTTGCTTTGCTCCTTGGGCTGACTCTGAGCCCCAACTCTTGTGCTGTGGGTGGGGACAGTGATGTACTTGTCTCTTGGGTGACACCCTTGCTCTAGGAGCCGAGTGCCTGGGTGGCAGCAGGGTGGGGGGGTGAGTGCTGGCAGTAGCCCTGGGTCTGCTTGCTTACCTCTCAGTATGAAACCCCCACCCCGTGAGCTGGGGCAGGGGTGATCTGGGCGCTGGTGGCGTCCGTACCACACTTGGGGCCTGGGTGAAAGAAGGGAACCCCTGCCTCCTTCTCATGCCCGGGAGTTAGCCTCAGCGCCAGGCAGGTTGCGTAGGGGGAGGAATGCGGAGGTGTGTGTTCTTGGCTGCACTGGTCTAGAGTGGATGCAGTTGATGCCTCACTGAGCTGCGAGGGGGAGGAGTGAGTCGGTCCTCGTTCAAAACCCACAGAATCCTGTAGCCGTTCTTACCAAATTTGAGTAGATTTCTTGAATGAGTGTTTTCCATTTAACGTATGCATTTAGAATCAATTCCAGAGACATTAAATAGTCATTTCATTAAAAATAATTTTCACCAGTTTCACAGAGAGTGAGTTGGTGGAGCTCCTCCTGATGTTATACTGGAAGCAGAATTCCCCAAGGATGCTAATTCTTTAATATCTCTCATTCTTCTTCTTTTTTTAAAGCACCTATTCTGTTTGGTAGTGTATGGTAGGAATTGATGTATTACCTTGCTAGAACTTTATTGGTTAATTTCTAGCCCCAGGCTGGAAAAATTCCTGGGGTTTTTATGTTTATGTCATCTCGCTCCCCTAGGTAGACTCTCTGGGGAGACATATGCTGCTGCTTCTCAAGCCTCTTTGCTTGCATGTGTTCTAAGATGAAAAACTTAAATTCCAATTCTTTGATTTTCCTAATAATAAAAATAAATTTGAAAATGAGGTAGGAGATGTGGTGTATATGTGAAATATACACTCAGTGTGGGAAAAAATGTAAAATATCTTAATCTTTTCTGTATCGAGTACATGTTATAATGATGTTTTTGATATGCTAGGTTAAAATGTTGTTAACATTTAACCTGTTTAAATTTCGTCTTTATTTAAAAAATTTTCTTAATTCTTTTTTAAAAAATGGAAGTATAGTTGATTTACAATATTGTGTTAGTTTCAGGTGTACAGCAGAGTGATTCAGTTATTTTTTTTCAGGTTATATTCCATTATAGATTATTGTAAGGTATTGAATATAATTCCCTGTGCTGTACAGTAAATCCTTTTTGCTTATGTATGGTAGTTTGTGTTTATTAATCCTGTACTCTTAATTTTGTCCCTCCTTCCCTCCGTCGCTGTCCCCTTTGGTAATCATAAGTTTGTCTTCTGTGTCTTTTTCTTTTCACTTTTTAAAATGTGAACAGTAGTAAAATTTAAAATTATGTATGTAGCTTGTATTGTATTTCTATTGTTTGTTAATTCTCTACATTATCTCTGCTGCCCTTAAGTAGGGTCTTTGTTTTCCATGATTAATTTGGAAAAATGTAAAAATTTCAAAAAGTATTAGAAAAGTCTCTTTAATTTTTGCAAAGTCGGCAATTTTCCCCTTTTATATAGTTGTAGTAAAAAATATGTACTCAAAAACCATTGTTTTATAAAGAAAATAGTTTTACTTAAATTTATGGTTAAAAAAAACCTATTCTGTCAGTTTTCATGCCTAATAGTATTTAGTAAGTTGATTTTCTTTAGGTAGATATATGCTTTAAAATTTTTTAGTTATTAAAAATGGCTAAAGCATTTATAATTGTTGTATATGAAATTTTAGTATTTTAAAATGTCGTGTCAGGAATCCTTAAATGAAACAAGTTGTTTCAGTATTTGAATGTGTGTCTGTTTTAATTTAGTAAGACTGACTTTCGTGGCCTCTCGCTCACAGATGATGACTTTGACCAGTTTGATAAGCCTGGCGCAGAGCGGTCCTGGAGGAGAAGAGCTGCAGACGAGGACTGGGACAGGTGCGGACACCCCTGCTCACGTGCAGGAGCCACGCTGATTTATCTCCTGTCGCTAGGCCACACAGAGATCTTCACTGAAAGCAGTGTGCTAGCTACTGATGCTCTTTCCTGGGTAGACTGGTCCTTACTGGGCTAAAGCAGGGCAGGGGTGAGCACTCCAGGTGGAAGGCTTTGTAGTGGGCTTCTACCCCAGGCCTGTGCTGTCTCAGGGCTGCCGGCAGAGCACGGGCCGTCTTATCTCTCTGTTTTTATACAGTGATGGTATTGACTTGGTGGGCACCCAGAGCTATTATTGGAGTAATTGTATGCCTGCAACAACAATAGCAACAGAATTCCTCCACATCCTACATAATATTTGCTAGATGTTAACATTTTTGCTATTTTAATTTGTGTAAAATGGTATCTCGTAGTTTAAATTTGGATTTCTCTGATAACTAGTGAAGATGGAAATCTCTCTTTAGGAATATACACACACACACACACACACACACACACTCTCTCTCTCTCTCTCTCTCTCTCTCTCTCTCTCTCTCTCTCTCTCTCTCTATTAAAAATGTCGACAGTTATGATAGATGTCAGTTCCACGGAGTGATTACTTCTGGGAAGGTGCTCTAGTAGGGGTTAGAGGGATGTGCACTGGAGAAGTGCACAGAGGCCTTCATTTGAGTTGGGGGAGTTCTCAAATGATGACTATTCGTTACATATTTCTTACCATCTTAAATACTGTGTTGAAAATGTGAACATTACCTTGGAGTTGCAGTCAGAAAGTTTGATAATGAAGGTCAGTAGACCTGAATAAGGAACAACAATGATATACTGCTGTGAAAAGAATACCTGGTTGCTGTTTGAAAACTGATGTCCCAGAAGTTTTACTGAAAAATCTACATTAAAAACTGTGTAATTCTTATAGTCTACATAAAGTTGATTACCCTCAATGACTCTTTAGGTAGTCCATAAAAAATTGAGAGCTTAGAGCAAAGTTTTCTATATAAGCAGTGGTCCTATTGGGAAGTACTGATAACTAGTTTTATTTAAAAGACTATGATGGGGAGCTGAGTCAAATCTTGTGTATGTTCATAGTTTACTCACCATTTGGACTTTCTGTTCTGTTAGTCATCTGGTAGTATTTATGTCTTTTTCTTTGGGGTTGTTTGTCTTTTCCTTATTGATTTTAGGGATTCTTTATACTTCTTGAAATTTGGTTTTTTGCACTGAGAGATATCTCCTTCCAGCCTGTGGCATGTATTGTCTTAAACTTAATAGTCTTCAAGTAGGTTTTTATAAATAATATCATTATAATCTTTTCCTGTATGGTTTTTGTTTATTTTTTTAAATTAAAATATGAAAAATGTATTTGGAAATCATTTTCAGACTATGGGAAAGTTGCAAGAATAACCCAGGAATTCTTATAAGCCCTTCTTTCAGACTCACAGTTGCTTTTTGTCATATTCATGTTTTTCTCTCCCTCTTTACATGCTCACATACACACACATAGAACATTTTTCTTTCCTGTACCATTTGACAGTAGTTTGCAGTAGTTTGTATCATGCCATTTTCTTCTGAATCTACATTGGTTATCCAAGGTTTGTCAGTTGTCCCAGTAATGTGCTTTCTAGCCAAAAATAAGTTTCTTTTCCTCCTCTCCGTTTGTTCATCTGAAAGAATTCTGTCTTTAAAGACTTCTGTAAAGGTTTTGTCTTTAATGACTTTTGCCATTTTTGAAGAGGACACGCTGTTTATCTTGTAGCAGCCCTCAAGTGTGGTTTTGCTAGTGTCTCCTCAAGCCTAGATTCAGGTTGTGCATTTGGTAAGTAAGGTGCACTGTTTGGTGACAGTGTGGCCTTACTGAGGCCACCTCTTCAGGAGACATGTGATGTCAGTCAAGCTGCTTTCTGCCTTTTGTCCTCAAGAAATTCTTCCCTACCCTGTATTCTGTATGTTCCTATGAAAGTTTAAGTGTTTTTTGGTCTCCATCCCTCCCTCCTTTTCTTCCTTTGTTCTGTCCTTCCTCCTGAAATTGATTAAATTGATTGATTTTTTTTTTTTTTTTTTTTAGAGAATAATTTATGTAAATTTTTTTTTTTTTTTTTTTTTTTTTTTTTTTTTTTTTACTTATTGAGAATTTCAAGTGTATATGAGAATAGTACAGTGCAGGGAATATACCATCCTTCAGCTTCAGCCCTGTCAGTGGGAAGCACTCTTGTTTTATCTGTGATCTCTGTAACCCTCCTCACATCACAGACATAATTTCATCTTAAAATATATCAGATTGTATCTCTCTAAAAAATAAAAGATTTATAAATATAGCCATAATAGAGTTATATCTAAAAAGAAGCCCCTTAATAGGAATGTGTTATTAATGTTCACATTTCCCTGATTGTCTCATGTGTATATAAGTATATTACAAATACACACACAAATAATGTGGACATGTGTCTGTGTGTTCTTTTATAGTTTGACTTGGAGTCCAAATAAGATCATATATCATAATTTATTGGTAGGTCTTTTAAGTATTGTTTCATCTGTAAGTTCTCTCCACAGTTTTTGTTAGTTCCCTGCAGTTTTTGTTGAAGAAACAAGGGGTTTATCTTGGAGAATTTCTACTTTTGGTGATTGCATCTCCTGCAGTGTTTTTAGTATGTTCCTTCATCTCTTGCATTTTCTGTAAATTCATAGTTAGATCTGGAGGTTGATCAGATTCAGGTTTGAATTTGGGCAGGAGTAGGGGCTCTGCAGTGTCTTAGTTGGTGGTATGTTCCTCCATCAGGAGCTTCACAATGTCTTGTTAACTTTTTGTGGTGTTACCAGCCATTAGATGATCCAAGTGGTGATATTCTCGTTCTGTCATTCCTTCTATTTCTGTTGTGGTAATTCTGTAAACTACTTGGTTCCTCTGAGGTACAGAATAAGTGCTTGATTCTTTACTTCTATTTACCAGTTTTCAAAAGAATGGGTCAGTTCCTTAGCATCCTCCAGAGGTGAGTTCTATTTTTGAATCATTTAAAATTCGTAGATTTAAATACTGCATGTGTTTTTTTTAATCCATTGTAGTTATTATTCTTATTAATGTTTGAATTGTCCCAGTATTTGTTCAGTGGGAATTTATTTTGGTTGTCATGACATTAGTTGGTCTTCTGCTATGAAGGAATTGGGTTTTGTTTGCAGTGAGACAGGGCTCTAGTTTTTCTTGTTCTTTCCAGTGTGACTAGCATTTGTCCCAGTGCCCTCTCTTCACTCATCTTCAGTGCATGTTTGCATATGAAGATTCTGTATCATATGTATTTCTTTATTTGATATTTTTAAAGCATAAAATAGCCTCTTCCATGTGCTGGATGGCAGAGGAGAAGTTCGAAAGTTTGGGAGAAGAGTGAGTCAGAAAACATATCAGTGTGCGGCCCGGTAGGAAAGAGCATGTTGAGAAGGCCTCCGCTGAAGGTCATTTGATGACGGGGATGTTTAGGGGCAGGGCTGAAGAAGCAGGTGTGGCACTGGGGGAGCAGCCGCAGGCCTGCGGGGGAGGGCTGTCCGAGGGCCCAGCCAGGGCTGCGCTTGTGTGTGGGGTGGAACTGGAGCTGAGCAGGTGGGGGGGGGCAGTCTCTCCTCCCGCTTTGTGACATTCCGTTGGGACCTCCCATGGCCGAGCCCATCCAGAAGAAAGGCCAGGGGAATGGAGAGCCCGTGGGAGCCGTTCCCGGAGACCCCATCCAGGGCCTGGAGCCGGTAGGGACCAGACGAGGGTGGCCTGGAGTAGGCAGGCACAGAGACAATGAGCTCACGTGCAGTATTTGTTGTCACTTAGATTTCTCACTTTGAAAGGCTGCAGCCAGGTGACTGCCTGCAAAATACCTGTTTCCTGAAAAAGTCTTTTAGTATAATTCTGTTTGTTAGTAAAAATGTACTTGCTCCCTAAGAGATGGTTGTCTCTCATCTTTGATAAGAAATATCTGCCAAAGAGGTTGTTCTTCCTCCAGTAGTGTTTACTGGTGAAATCTTGTGGGAGCTCTGCAGGTGAATGCAGGAAGCCTCCTCATGCTTTTGGTACTCCTTTCGCTTCCGAACAGTTACCGTTATTGTCCACAAGCATAACTGCTTACCCCTTTGAAAGGACTCGATTTGGACCATTCAGTCCCATTGGTTCATTGTTGCTTTTGGTGACCCTTGGTGTAATTTTGGTAGTGTTTCGTAGTTTACAAATTTCTTCCCTTTTGTGTACCTGTTTGTAAGGATCCAACTTTATGATAACAATAGAGAACTAACTACATTTAACTTTTGTGGGGTGTGTGCATAGTAGTTAGTATTTGGACTCTGGAGCCAGACTGTCTCAACTCATCTACTGGTTTCTGACTTGGAAGCAGGGTGACCTTGGGCCAGTTCTTTAACATCTTGGCGTCTTTGTTTTCACGTTGAAAAAAATGGAGAATTATGTAGGTGTCTGGTTGCCGGGGTTGTGTTATGTCAACAAAAGAGCGAGTATGTGTGAAACGCGTGGAGTGGTTCTTGGCATGTAGCACACTGAATGGCCGTTAGTGATTTCTTGAGCTATAATTTATGCATATTGTAGTCGCGTGCACTTAATCCTTCTGTCTCCCGTCTTTCTTATTTCATGCTATTATTGCCTTTGTTAGTCATGGGAACAACTGTTCTCCACCTCTGTACACTCCACTCATTTACAACTGGTAAAGTTTTCAATTATCTTCTTTTAAAAAATGCTTTTGTTTAGGAAAAATAGGTGGTAGTCCAAGACTGATTTCTTATTTCCATATATTTGTCAGCAACAAATACTTTCTAGATTTTTGCTTGTATGATTACCAGCACCTGTTCATATTATGGTTCTAAGAGTTCTCCTCAGTTAGTTTCCCCGGGGCAAATGGGATTACCTCCCCTTTTCAGTTATTTGGAGGGATGCTCCAGGGGGTGCTTGTCCTTAAAGGGGTGCTTGTATTTTTGGGGGGTTATCTAGAATCAGATTCTCAAATGCGCTTATTGTAAATATTGTGACTAGAAAGCACTTTTTCCTTGTCCATGGAAAATGATTGTAACACTGAAGATACAAAAATTGTATCTGAAAGATGATTAGGTGATTTGTGGATTGAAAATGTTGGAAGAAGTTATACATTAGTCTCTAATAACTGTTTTACTTATACAGGTCCATGAAAGAGTTTTTTTCCATGAGCTAAGTTCTCGTCCTGAATCTGTCTCTGCTGTGTGACCTTGGGCAAATCATTTAACCTTGTCCTTATTTCCTTTATCTATAAAATGATGGTATATGATTTATGTAGGGTAACGTAAAATAATGAAAGAGGTATTCAGTGCATGAATGAAATGACTTGTTGAGTTGTTTCTGGTTCTAAAAAGTAGTATGTAGAATTTCTGTTGTAACTTCATATGTGCATTCCAGGATATTCTGGCATTCTGCACAGTAGCACACTAGAAGTAAACATGGGTTTTGGGTAAAAGAGCACTCAAAACCTATAGAACTTATAGATATTTGTAACCAGAGCCCTTATTTAAAAAGTAGCAAATCATAATAAGAACATTGGTGCAGTTAAATCTCCATTGGCATTTGTACCTAGAATCATAGCCTAATTGCGTTTCCTCCTTTCTAGATGTTGGTCCTTAGTCATCTGCTTTTAAAAGACGTAATTTAGTGGTAGCCACCTTCATCAGTTAGAGAAACATGCAGTGGGAAATGCCTTCAGGTTTTTCATCTGGTAAGGGTTTCTATTCTCATTATGAGAAAAACTCCTTCTGATTGCTTCAAAACATAAACATGCTGACAAAAAATTGCAGGCAGCTGACATGACTCCCATGTTATGAAGACAGTTCTCTTAGTTATGATTTACTTGAATGTCCTCATCAGCATTTTTGGTTTTTCATTTTTAAACTTCTTCAGTTTTCGCAGTTTGAGTGTTAAATGGTCTTTCAGTGATTTTGGTTTTTAATTTTCCTAGTTAATGATGGTGGGCGTCTGTCTTTTCCTATTTCATCGTAGGTAAGAGAAAGCATAGATATTGTATTATAGTTTCTTCTTTTGCTCATTAATGAACAAGTCCAGAGAAATTAAGATCTCATATTGAGGTGAAAAAACTAAGAAGTCTAGTGAGAGCCGCTAGTTATAGCGAAGCTTCCCATACTTAAAGGACCAGATGTTCCCTGTTTTCATTATTAATAAAGGAAAATGTAGCAAACTTAATGTGAAAGTACCCAAACCCTAAAGTCCTGGATAAATTTCCCAGTGGTCTGCAAACTCCGCAGTGTGTAATAGGAATAATACATTGTCATGTCTCTTTTTTCCACAGTGAACTTGAAGATGACTTACTTGGAGAAGATTTGCTCTCTGGCAAAAAGGTAAGAAATACAGGTCTTCGTGAAACTAAATGATAGTTATTTAATTGCATTTAAAATATAGGAATACATCTTATGCATGGGATGTGTTACTGGAAAGTTGGGTATAGATTAAAATTTTGTGAATCGAATTACTTTTTAAATGCACAAAGAGTTGAGTGTTTAATTTGTTAGTGAGTTCTTTGGTAACTTAGAATTCAGGCCCTAAACCCTTGGAAGCAAGTACTTTAGCTCCTGCTACGCCAAGGCACTCTAGCAGGCACTGAATCTCTGAAGGCGGCAGCAAAGCTGCCACTTGCCTGAAGGAAGCGGCAGCTCCTTCCTTAACATTCAGTGGTTAGTATTTGCATGCTGGAGCTGGGATTTACTTTTTGGGAATATTCAGAGATAAGCATAAAAATAAACATACTCAAATATGATACATTTTCACATAAATAAGAATAAAAGTCTAAAACCTGATGTAGGTTTTTCTAAACTCTTGATCAAGTAAAAACTTGGAAGCAGTTATCGTTGATGTGTATGTATATCTATATATTGTGTGTGTATATGTATATACGTAACTCTACATATATATATATATATATATATATTTTTTTTTTTTGGCCACGTTGGGTCTTCGTTGCTGCGCGTGGGCTTTCTCTAGTTGTGGCGAGCAGGGGCTCCTCTTCGTTGTGGTGCGCGGGCTTCTCATTGCGGTGGCTTCTCTTGTCGTGGAGCACAGGCCCTAGGTGCGCGGGCTTCAGTAGTCATGGTGCACGGGCTTAGTTGCTCTGCACCATGTGGGATCTTCCCGGACCAGGGCTTGGACCTGTGTCCCCTGCATCGGCAGGCGGACTGTCAACCACTGCGCCACCAGGGAAGCCCCATTGTTTTTTTTATTTTTTTTTGGTGGTAAGAAAAAATTACTTGTTTATAGGATACTGCCAAAGGACTCGTTCCTTTTTTTTTTTTCGTTAAGAGTTATAGTAAATATGATCATTATGCTTGCTGCTTCTATACTTATTTGACTGTGCATCTAAAAATTAGTCTGGGGCTTCCCTGGTGGCACAGTGGTTAGGAATTCGCCTGTCAATACAGGTGACACAGGTTCGAGCCCTGGTCCGGGAAGATCCCATGTGCTGCGGAGCGACTAAGTCTGCGCTCCACAACTACTGAAGCCCACACGCCCTAGAGCCCGTGCTCCACAACAAGAGAAGCCACTGCGGTGGGAAGCCCGTGCACTGCAACGAAGAATAGCCCCTGCTCATTGCAGCTAGAGAAACCTACGCACAGCAATGAAGACCCAACACAGCCATAAATTAAAAAAAGAAAAAAAAAAAAATTAGTCTGGGGTAGTTAGCCAGTATGCCATATGTGGAATCTCGACTGTCAAATGGTTATATCAAACCGAGAAAACTTTCTGAATGGTAGATGTTTTAATAACAAGGTTAGAAACAATCCAGTCAACATAATTTTGCACTTTTGTAACAGGTCTTTTTTTGTGGAAGTGACATGCATTAATTAGATTTCTTACTTTAATTAGAATCAGTCGGATTTGTCAGATGAGGAGCTAAATGATGATCTTCTGCAGAGTGATAACGAAGATGAAGGAAATTTCAGGTACTCAACATTAGCTCATTAAAAATGTTCTTTATGTAACTAAATTTCTAGTGACTAATTTATAATTATAGTGGGATATAAATGATAATGTAGTACTGTATCTTTAACATATGATGATATTGTAAACAGGATATTAATATAACTCTTTGATGTGGAAGCCATATATATTTTTCTGTAAATAGATCAACTGTTTAAAGTCAGTGTTGGTCTTGCATTTAATGACCTCTGAGAGCTCTGTTGAGTGCTGGTTATAAAAGTTCAGTACAGGTATATGCACTGCTCTTTTAAAGAATTCCTTTATTTGGATGAGGGGCAGTGGCCCCCGACTCAATACTGTTGGCACAGTTCGATGTTACTGCTTTTGTTTTCATTTTAGACAGTTTTTATCTATACATATCTAGTAACTGAATTGCCATTTTGAAATGGCGGAGTCCTTTGCATTGCACTTCGCCTCTAGTTGGCTGTCTGAATATAGTTGTTTCCGTCTGTTTGGGCTGCCATAACAAAATATCATAAAAGGGTAGCTTACAAAGAACAGAAATTTATTTCTCACGGTTCTGGGAGCCGGGAAGTCCTAGGTCGAGGTGCTGGCCTGGTTGGGTTCTAGTGAGGACCCCCAGCCCTCTCACTGTGTACTCACATGGTTGGAAGGTGTGAGGGAGCTCTCTCGGGTCCCTTTTATAAGGGCACTGATCGTATTCAGAGGTTCCACCCTCATGACCTAGGCGTCTCCCAAAGGCTTCACCTCCAGACACCATCACATTGGGTTTTAGGATTCAACGCATGAATTTGGGGGGCGGGGCACAAATATTCAGTGCATGGCAGTAAAGAATATCTTTCTGTTGCCGACATAGTAGTGCAATTAGAAGAGGAAGAGGCATTTAGTATACTCCGTTAGGTGGAATAATTTTTTCAGTTTTATGAGGAAACATTGTGAAAATATAGAGACACTTCTTGCTTATAAATGTAGTTAACAAATATATTCCATTCATTGTTGAGCTATAGATTTGTAATAGTTTTTCTAACATAATGGGTAACAAGTTTTAAATTAATTTATTCTGTCAGTTATTTGTTTCCCAATTCCATTCTGTGACATCATTATTATATTTTGATCTTTTGAGTTAGTTAAGTTGCCCTTGAAATAAACCTTTGGAATTTTTTTAGCCATATGTCTTCAGGTGTATGTGGCATGTTCAATTTTTTGTTAGGATTGGATACTTAATAAGTGTAAACTTAGATTTAGCTCCAAAACCTTGCGTTTTAAGTGTTATTATGCATTTTTAATTGTTTGACGTTTATCTGTTGTGATTTAACAGGTGGAATATGATTTCCTTTTTTGCAGTTTTAAAACTGCCCTTGTTTATTTTACTTAGAAATTAACTTTTTTAAAAAAATCTGTGGCTAGTATAAACTTTAGTTGAACATTGAAATGTATTTTCATGCAGATTTTTAACATTTTGATTTCTTAAATAGGAGTTTATAGTTTGCGTCATAGATTTAAAAAAGAAAACAAGTTCTTAAAATTCCATCTATGATTTTCTGTTTATAGAGTAATACTCCTACTTTTACCTGGATGTTTTGGAAAATAGTTACCACCCATTTCGTTCTGGAAGTTAGAATGAAACGTAGTCTGTTTGCTTTCAGTCCTGGACTTTTGCCAGGTAGACCTGTTTCTCATGGTTGCTCTGATTCTCCCGGTCAAATAAGCCACAGCTGATGATAGAGGGGGCGCCTTATGCAGTAGGAGTCTGGTGCTGGCCCTGTGTACGTGTAGTGCACTGAGCTCTGCGGTGTGTAGGAGGGGTTTGTAGTGCTGGCTTAGTAGGGAACACATTGAGTTTTGCTTGCAGTCATTGTTGTTGTCAGTGTGCCTTGATCAGTCACTGGAGTAACTTTTCACTGGTCTTTCTAACAGTTAACTTATGCAGTGATTTAGTTTTGAGCTTCACTCCAGTTGCCTGCCTTTCTTTGTATTTTTGTCCCCTCTAGTTCTCAGGGCGTCACAATTAGTCTGAATACCACATCTGGCATGGTCACATCGTTTGAACTGTCTGACAACACTAATGACCAGTCTGGAGAACAGGAATCCGAGTACGAACAAGGAGAGGATGAACTCGTTTATCACAAGTCTGATGGATCTGAACTGTATGCTCCTGAGTACCAGGAAGAAGGACAGTATGAAGGCCATGGTGTTGAGCTGGCAGAAGACCACATCGAGTACGCGGGGGAGCCGGAGGAGGAGCCGCTGTACAGCGACGAGGTGTTAGACATCGAGATCAACGAGCCTTTAGATGAGTTCACAGTGAGTCTTTCTCCTTTGTATGGCCGAAGAGAGCATGGCTGCCTGGGTACAGGTTTCTAGACAGATTTGAAATCTGTTTCCCTCCCCTGGGAGGGCGGGAAATTAGACCTTATTATCACTGTCTGCCAGTTTCTTTATCTGCGCTCTGACAAAGTTTGTGTTGACAGCTTGTTTGGCCGGAGGTAATGCTCCTTTGTCATCCTGGAAGGCTGCACAGAATCGTGACCTTGAGGAAGAAAACAGCTTTGTGTGGTGGAGATACACTGTCAATTGTTAGAAGTACTTAATGCAGGGCTTTTATCCAGGCTTTAGACAAGATCTGATAAAGTCCTTCTAAGGTGAAAAGATTATTGACCTGCTAAAGACATCTTTAAGGTGCTAATATTCCAGAGTGATTGATGTCCTGTTCATTCATCCTTTTTTTGTAACTGAGAACTGTCTAAACATGAATAAAGAGATTGGAGGTTAGTTTAGGAAATGTCACACATAATTTGTTATCTGTAATCAGGAAGCAAAGATTGCGCTGATTTTTATTTCAGAAAGGTGGTTTTGGTTGGTAGCTTTTTCTTTTTTTAGGTTGAACTGTCAAGAAAGAAAAAGGTATTAGTGAAAGATTGCCCATCTGTCTTCATGATTTATCATTAAGAAAGATTTGTTTTTGAAATAAGCACTTAAACGAAATTTATGTTGGAAGGGCATGACCTCCATAGGTGCAGTAGAATCTTAGGGTTTTCAGGGTGCTGGTCTCCCCCAAGGTGCAGTGTGAGTGGGGCTGCTGGAATGGGGTGGAGGCATGCAGCGTTAGGGCTAGAGTTCTGCCTTTATCTCTTAATGTTTCCATTCAGAGTAGGTAATTTTTCATTTGAGAAAAAATTTGTGTGTGTGTGTGTGTGTGTGTGTGTGTGTAGTTTTAAAAGACACTAATCGTTTACGTGGAGCCTTAGAATATTTAGTTCCAAACACAGTTGCGTTTATATATCGCAGTGTTATTTTTAAGATTTATTCTTTTTGAATGCTTTCTCTTTAGTAGATGTAGTAATGAAAAAATATTTCTAGGTTTGGTAAACAGAATCCTGTAAAAGGCATCATGGGTCCTTGTTTTTTCGATAACTCTGTAATGGTTTCTTTTGGTAATAAATCCTTCAGTAGTGTGGACAGGTGCTCTCTGGTTTACTGGTGTGTCCATATACTATGTTAAAGTGAGACACTGTAATTTAAAATGATTCTTAAAAATTAAGCCAAGATCTTTAAAAAATGTGCCCCGTTATTCCCTGGTTAGAGCGTTTTAGTATTTCTACTGCTCATCCCTAAAATAAGGTGGTCAGTCAGTCACATCCCTTGTAAATTCAAAAGCTCAGCAGATCTTTACCAGTGTCCAAGCAGTGGGGACGTAAGTATTGCTGGAATATGAAGCATGAAGCGTGGCCCCTGCCTTCTGTGAACTTAGACTTTAGTGGAACAAATCACAGTGTGGAAAGTGCTTGATATAGCACTTACACATGGTCACATAAGAGGTATCTCTCACTTTGGTGTTCTTGCAGAGTTTGTTGTAAAGAGAATTTTTAGTAAGTGAGGACTTTCCCTCTCTTATTTCCCAAACTTGAGGTTACATTTAGGCCCCTCGTTGTATAAAATCCAACTTAACTGTCCAGCATCTTGTGCCTAAGGTTCAGGTATTGAAAAGACAAAAATGCAGATTCAACATACTCACAGTACTTCTCCGCATTAAAATACTTTTTTTCAGAATTAAAAAAGAAACCTTAAGTAAATTTACTTAACTGAACGTGTCCAGATATTTTCACAGAGAGTTGTAAAGTTTAAAGGTAGAAGGCGAAGTTAAATGTCTTTCTGTGAGCAATGTCAGCTCACCTCAGTATATCCAGCTTTACAGCCACACTCATTCTTTCCTTTCTTTCCGGTTTAAGATTATTGGTTTCTTTATAGATATCACAGTGGTAGAATCTGGCACTGCCTCTTCTTTGCATGGGAAGAGAAAAATGGACTTAAGCTGTGAAATACTTTTCTCCAGCTCTGCAGTGCGGGCCTCTTACTGTCTTAGGCTGTCACTGGTGCACAGATTAATTAATTATTCCTTATTAGAGTAACGAACATATGAGTAGATTGCAGTCCTGTGTATCCCAGTGGTATTTTAGTTTATTAAAAGGTTTATTTAACTGTGGTTCATGTCCTAGTTAGGACTTGTTAACTCATACTCTAAAGCTAGAATTAACTCTGTACTCATCGCGAGTATGTTCTGTCTATTTGAGCTCACACGTAACGTCACAGGGAGGAATTTTGTGTGTAACTGGGAGTGGAATCATAAAATCGCAGAATTTTACAATTGGAAGGGACAATCTTACAGAGGAAGGAACTGCATTTTCCCATAAAAAGTTGGTAGTAAATTGTGGTGTTCTTTCCTTTCATACTCAAAATTTTTTTGAATTTTGCTGTCCTAATCTTGAGAGTGAATTGGGATTTGATGTAAAAACTTGTATTCTTGTATTAGGAAGAGATGTATATTATTTATTAGTCAACAGAATATGAGAACACTGTCAGATGATTTATACTTTTGAGCACAACCAGATTTACTTAGTGCCTTTAAAGTTAACATAGATTGAGATTTCATAAGACATTGTTCTGTAAAAACAATTTCAGATTGGTAATTTAATGGATAGCAGATTTTTGTTTCCCAGTGAGAGTTCAGTGGTGTAGACTATTCTCCATTGTATGTTGGCTGAAAGTTTTGATTAGCATCGTATGGCCTTACTTGAAATCCGACAGTTCTGCTCTCAGTGAATCATGGGTAGTGATAGTTGCTCTTTTAGGTAGGATGGTAACAGTTTCTTTGGGGAAGTAAAATGCAGTGTGTTTGGACAGTCTTGAGAGACAGTTGTGGGGACTAAGGTGGTCTGTCACCTTGGGTACAGCTGCTGTTCTTTGTAGAGAGACTATTGGATTCTGTGCAGTAGGGCTGTGCAGGTCCCGCAGCTGGTCCGCTCTT